ACTAACAATGAGCAATACATTTGTTAGTTTTATTAATCCTGGTTAACGTTAATTAATAAAAAAATAACTGTTTATTGTTAGTTCATGTTAGATTAAGTCCATTAATAAATATTAACAAATAAAAAATGTTATTTTAATAATGTATTAGTAAATGTTGTAATTAATATGAACTGAGCTAAATAAATGCGTTACAAGTATTTCTCATTGTTAGTTCATGTTAACTAATGTAGTTTACTAATGTTAACAAATGGAACCTTATTGTAAAGTGTTAAACCCTGTAAAATAGAGTGTTATTAATAAATTCCCAATGCACTAATGCCAGTAAAATGTCATTAGGCCATAAAAACAAACAAACAAACAAAAAAAACACTGCACCCTTCCCATATCATATGATCGTTTCAAGCGAGATCCCACAGAGCTTGATCCCTGCCACCTTTTCTTTCCGGTGCCACCCCCACCCCAAAAGCAACACATTCCCAAGACTCCACCCCTCCTTCACCCTCCTGGTCAAATTCCATTCACTGCTCTCACGATCACAAGCCCAATCTCAGGCAGGACGTCCCTGAGAACATCAGCCGCTTTTTCTTTGCTCTTGCTCAGCTAAATCTAAAAATGTCCTGGACTCGACCTCTTCTTCTCACCTGTCTGGTTGTTTTGTCCGTCATCACCTGTAAGTAACCAGACCGTGGTTTACTGTACTGACCAAGGGAAGTGTTGATTTACCAATGTGGGGAACCACAGGTCTAACAGTCCCTGGAAAGGGTAGCAAATCTTTTGGACTTACCTCAACCGTGCTTCCTCTGTTACAGTGTTCTATGGAGCCGACAGCGCCGCTGTGTCAGATAAGAAGGCAGCCAATCCTCAAGGTGACCAAAAATTCACAATGATGCTGTAGATCTTTCTCAAGAGTTCTTCCCCCTCATCAATGTTTTTCATCACCAAAGGAACACTGAGAAAGGTTTTCATGCCAGAGGCAGATGCCTCCAGCTTCTTCAAACGCCGAGGCAAGAGGGCTGTGAAAACTCAAGATGAGATAAACGGTGAGGCTATTTGTGCTTGAGTAAAAACTCAATTCAAGTGCAACCCCTTGAGCAATTGTCAACTACAATGGACAATCCAGAATGTTTGATTTAGACAGAATAAATGAGTACAACTGGGGATTTTATATGAATAATAATACATAATAAAAATGTATATCTAGAAACATTATAAAGCATTCAAATGTTTACCGTCAGATTTTGAAAGAAATCACTTATTTTATTCAGCAAGGATGCATTCAACTTCTATTCATCAAAAAAAAACAAAAATCTGAAAAATGATCAGTTTCCACAAAAATATAAAGCCATAAAACTGATAAAAAATTCAGCTTTGCATCACAGAAATAAATTAAAATATGAATAAATAAATACATTTTAAAGTATATTAAACTAAAAAAACAGTTATTTTAAAATATAATAATATTTCAAAATATTACTGTTTTTACTGTATTTTTGATCAAATAAATGCAGCGTTAGTGAGCAAAAGAGACTTCTTTTTAAAACATTACAAAAATCTTACTGACCACAAACTCTTAAACATAAAAAAATTCACAATTTGAAGTCTTGCAAAATAAATTTTCATCAATCACATCACTTTTGTGGCTTCTAGGACTTTTTGGTCAGGCTTGCTAGTGTAAAACGGTAATAAAGAGCCTTTTTTAGTAGCGGCTAGCACTGGTCACACAGGTGCTGCATTTTGAGCCAGCTGAGGAATGTAAGGACGGCAGATAGCAGGAACCACAGGGCAGGCTGGAGAAACCAGCCTTCAGTCTTCAGCTCCTGCCAGTGCTGGAGGAGGGGCTCGGCTGCTGCAGCTTCGACCTGGACTGAGATTGTTAGTTTATGGTTATGGGCTCACCAGAAATGATGTTTGACTCACCTGGGAGAAATTATGACTATGTATTTAAATGGTGAGGTGAAGATCAGGACAAGAGGACTTTCTTTTGTGTGGAACATCCTAAGTGGAATCATAAATAGCTCCTTTTGGACTTGGAATGAAATAAAATTAATTAGTATGCAGCTTTGGTGTTTTATAATTCACTGCTGCTGTCACACCAAATCAGGTGATCCTATTATGTAATACAAACAGTGATGTAATAACAAACGGTCTTTATTAATGAATACTATTTAGCACAGTGAAACTGAAAAGACATTATATTTCATAATTCATATCATGAAGTGAGGATAAACTGCATTAAGTTAAAGTATGGCATAATAAAAACTATGATACAATAAAAAACTGGTCTGCTTACTATGCTAAAAGTTATTCTGAATCATTTGTGAACGTTTTCATACCTTGGTTCGTGTTGTTTGAGCATATTTCTGTTTTTATTTCCTCATTTTCTTCCTCTCACATTTTGTTGTCTTATTAGCTGAACAGAGACAGAGACTGGCTGCAGATGAGAGAAGGAGGGAGTATCATGAGGAACAGAGTAATGAGTTTGAGAGTTACGCTGAAGAGGAGCATGACGGTGAGAACTCAAATCACTCCTGGCGGCCATATTGGATCAGGCAGCATTAGTAGCGTTCTGAGATCATTCAACACAAGTCACTCAAGCAAACAGGATTACTCATGACCTTAGCCGAACCTTGTAGGGTTTTACAAAACAGGTTTAAACAGGGTTGGGGTGTGGGGGTGTGTGTATATATATATATATATATATATATATATACACACACAC